TGCTCCGCTGGCTTATGGCTGCACTAGACGTCACAGCATTCCGATGTATCAAGGAGTTCCTTGGCGATAGAATTGGTACCAGTGTTGATGATTCGCCAGCACCATGGATTGTAAACATTAATTAAACGTTGTCGAATTTATTCGATTTGACAAATTTCTAATGCAATAAAATTTTTAAAATGCATATCAATTTATTCTGAGTTTTTCTATAAATTAGGGATTGAAAGGGAATTTTAATGATTTCTGCCTTTCTTTCTATTAAAAGCACCTCGAAAATAATCTTTAAAAATAATTTTTTTTGGAATAAAATATAATATTTATAATATATAATAATTTATAATTTATAATATATAATATAATATCCAAATATTTCAAATATTTCTACGTTATTGGTTCTTTGTTCTCTTCATTGGTGAATTTGGTGAATCATTAACTGCGTGTGGAAAACTGATAGAGACGACACGACACGACACCTCTCCCTCTATTTCTATCCTCAGCTCAACCCATATTAAAAATTTCTAGTTCTATTAATAGCCAACGAATGAGTCTAATGGAGATGCTTGGCAAACCACTGTCACTTATGCATTCTCCGCTTTCTTTTTCCATCTCAAAATTTTTAAAAATTTGGCTAAAAAAATTTAATTTTATTCACTTAAATAGAAAATTTGGAATTTATCAATAGCCAATCTAAATTTTCATTAAATAAACAATTCATTTGCCGTTAATTCACGAAATATTGAACATTAATCAATGTCGATAAGCATTTTTGTCCGTAACTAATAACTATGTTTTGAGCAAATTCATTTTTCACATGTTTTAATAATTTTAGTTGTTTTTTACGTCGGCGGTTTCACTATTTTTATTATTTATTATTTATTCGCTTTTTTTTATGATTAAATCAAATGAATGAAGGCAGAGGATAGTCGAGAGGACAGCTGTTTAGATTGAGAGGCAAGAATTCGGCTGTTGCTCTCTGAGGAGAAACCTGCCATATCCACCTGCTTTCCTGTCGCCGAGTTATTTCTCATTCTACTAACAGCCAGCAGAGTTACGTGGGCGCAAATCGCTTATTTACTTTTGCTTAATATTATCAAATAAATAAATAAATCAGAATCTGTGATAAATTTTTCACCTTTTCTAAGACTCATATTACATGGGCACTTTCGCGAGGTTACTCACTAACACTAAGTGATCTGCACTCACTATTTCTGCTTAAGCTGTTAACGATATGATGAAAATTTTTTGCCGGAAGATCAGATAAATTGATAGACGAAATTATGAAACAGACAGATGGACGGCGGGGTTCTGGCAGGACTCGAAGTTTGATGGCGGCGACGAATAAAAGCTATTCGGCTGACCTGCCTCATAGCACCACACTGATTCACCGCTCTTTGAATTTTAAATCTAATTAATGCATTCATTAACAATGCATCTATAAAATAAAATGAAACGCTGAAAAAATTTTCGGTTATATTTTAACAAATTTTCATATCAAAACTTTTGTTTTATTAATGAAAAATTATACTTATTTACTCTTTTATTTTACTACCACTTTTTGAATTTTTTGAATGTAATTTTCCTACGAAACCCCTTTTTTCACTCATTTCATTTCAAATGCTTTATTCATTTGTTTATTCATGGATGAATAATTAGTTCAACTGCTTCTTTTTGCCATTCGTAGTTTGACTGGGCCGACAGACTAACAGTACGGAACCTTTCTGCAGAATATCGCTTGGAGATAGGCAGGGCAGCCCACTCGAATTTCACCGGTGTTCGAGCCCTCCTGGCCCGTCCTGGTCGAAGGAAAATATAACTCTTCCCTTTCTTCTAATAGAATCAGCTATCGCTTTTACGACTTTTCGAATTATCATTCGCAAGAAATGAAACATTTGACGAACTCCATTTAAAAAAGCTATAAGCTTCCATAGCAACGAGATAAAACAACTAAAAATCTTGGTCAAGTTAGCATTAAAAAATCACTCCTTCATCATTACTAACCATAATTGAAGAAAATGAAAAGGAATATATTAGAAAGGAAAAGGAATGAGGCTAGAAGGAGGGTGAGGGTGGGCTTCATCCCTGCCTTGACCCCTTAAGAGTATCACCACTCGCAAGTGAAATAGGCCACCACGCAAGAAGTGAATAGGTTGCAACAACTTTATACAATAGAGGTTAGCTGAGATCATTTGGAAAAAGCCATTCTAACTGAATATATCTCCAAACCTCAATATTTTTTATTCAGATCCCTCTATGCTAAAATATAAATCGCCTATTTAAAATTTTTTAACGACGATAAAGGCTGAAGCCGCCAAATCTATTCGGCTGACAAATAGAGGTAAGCGGAAACATTTAAACGAAATTTTATCGCCCACATATCGATCTTTTTGAAACGATGTTTTTTGGCTGTTTTTTTTTCGTGTTAATTTTATTTATTAAATTATAAAAATGTCGTTGAATAATATTCAAAAATTGCTTTGTTTTTGGTGAATTTTGATCAATTAAAATGTTTTTTTCAAATTTATTAAATTTAATTCTTCGTTTTTAAATTATTCATTTAAAATTTATTTGAAGGAAATTGATTTGTTGATCGTATTTTATACGGGGCTCTGTTTTGCGCAGCAGCAAACTGCTCGAACGAACTGAAAGGTTCTTCAGCTTTGACTGTCCTCGGAGAGAGGAGCGCCTCGCAGCAGTCGGTCCGACGTCGTCGCCGACGCACAGCCATGTACGCCGTGCATTTCCGTCAGAATCTCCGTCAGTTCACGTCTTCATTGATCCTTGGTTTGTCAAGTGGCGAAAAGTGCGCCAAGTCCTATGGTAGAAGGTGCCCTAAACAGCGAACACCACGCTCTGTGTTGCTAATATTGGATGGTATTTGAGCGGAGATGGATGCGATCATGTGGGATTTCGTCCGCTCGGCGAAGCCTTAATCTATGGGTCAGAGGCAGACAAGGCTTCTTGATATCCTCCACTCCCATTGATCATGTCTCGCAGCCATTTAGCAAGATTGGGCGAACTGCAGCTATGTCGACTCGTATTTTCGTCTTCATGGTGAAGTTTTTATATTTCGCAATGGCTGATAGAATTTTGGCCAACGTATTTCTGGGAGCATATTATTTACCACTTTCCAGTCCGTAATTTCACTTGGGATTAGAGTAGATCCAGAATATCTAAAATGAGGCACCTCCTCACCCGGCAGTGAAATGATAAAAATAGGTATTTTATCAGCATCTTGTATATAAGACGAAAACACTTTCGGTTTATTTGCAGTGATTTTGAGTCGAATTCTCGTTGCAGTTGTTGACACATTGTTTAGCATGTTTGCATATCGCCATAACTGTCAGCAAAAAGGATTGCATCATCAGCGTATTCAGAGGCTCTGCTCTGCTGTGGACTGATTTGCACACCTTTTGTGTGCCGACAAGCGATCTTCATTATCCGGTTTGAATATTGTAGGTGAAAGGAGGCAACCTTGACGGACTAGTTTTTATTGCAGAAAGGTCGACCTGTGCCGATGTACGCTGTTGCATTATAAAATTATGTAAATGCGAATCATAAACCAATATAAACGTGGAACCTGAAGTGGAGAGTTAGGATGAAAATTAATCGATGCATCCTTATCGAAATCGTCGTTGAACTTTTCATTGAACCATCGGGATATTCATTTATTAATATTGATAGTCTGGCACGAAAGAATTTTAATGAAAGAAATAATATAATTATAAAAAAATATTTTTAAAAAAAACTGATAACGGCATTTTGGAGATATAAAGCGATATAACAGGAAATTGCTAAGAAAGCATAAAAAACATAGAATAAAGCCAGCCGAACGAGAAATATTAGAAAAAGGGAAACGATGAATTAGCACGTATAAAGGCTGGGTGAATTCGAGTGAACATTCGAGTCATTTAAATTTCATTCTTTGGCATTGCAGGAAGTCAAATTTGTTATATTCAGATCTCAAACTTATATAACCTTTCAATCATATTTAAATTTTTTTAAAAAGAAAGTGTTGATTAATTTCAAAGATAATTATTTCAGTACTTTTTGCATTTTGTATTTTAATGGAATTTAGGATTTTTCGGTTATGTGCTGATGAAATGATGAGAAGATATATGTTTGGATCCTTTTCTTCGTAATTTTTCTTCTTTCATTTTAGCCATCGTTTCGTCAGCATTAATTTTATCTCTCTTACGCTTTTTTAATTTTGCTTAAGCTTTCTCTTGACCACTATATTCTCATTGATAGGTAACGCTTGCGGATCAAATAACCAATAAATTCGAATTTAATGCTCAAACGTCGGTTTTTTTTTAGGGCTGCGCAAAATTTTTACACCTGAACTTATGGCAAATTCATTTTCCATCTATAGAAATCCCTTCTGCTACGTTCTGTTTTTTATAAATTTCGGAACGAGTTTCGAAGTCGAGGAATCAACATTATTCGTGCGAAATTGAGAAACTTTATATTCTAATTTTACAAGAACTTTTTATTTGTTTATTTTTAGACTTTTAGGATTAAAGAAATGTGAAAAATTCCGCTTTATTTTTTTAAAAAGACTGAAAATCATATTTTTAAAATTTTAATTTGAAGATTATTTTGGATTTTTTTAAAGTAAAGATGGAAATATGCATTAAACTTATTGATTAAAATTGTCCATGAATAGTAAAATGATTTATAGAACATCATTTGGCTTGATGATTTAATAGTTGCGATAAACGACGAGTGTAATATATCGAATTTTATTTCGAATAACTTGTCAGTTGTTCAACAAAAATTTTATTTTTCCTCTCCATTCAATTTTAATTTTCTCCTTATTTCATTAATTTATATATTTAAATTTTTTTTTGTTTTTTTGCAACCGTTATTTCTATTAAATTTTTGTTAAATTATTTAAGTAATTCTTGATTTTACAGACTTAAATTATGAATATGGGCAAAAATCTCATTTCCACTGAATTCTTTTGCGGATAATTTTGTGAATGGTTTTTTTGTTTTGGAATTATGCGAAACGAAGAAGATAATCAGGAAGAGTCAATGGATATGCTTAGCGAACATCGTGAAAATCAATCAACACCAGTCGCAAATGGTTCAAACAGTTACCGTGCTGCCGTTCAAATGTTTCGCAAATTTTCCTTTGACGATTTATATTCAGGACGAACCAAAAAAGTAAATTTATTTTCTCTTTATGTAGCATTAAGTTTACATTAACATTTAACGTTAACATTAAGTTCTAATAATTAAATTCTATTGAAATGAATTTAATTTTCTAAAATAATTTTTCTAAGATAATTCTTAGATGATAAATAGGAGAAATTCGAAAGAAAAAATGTAAAATATAAAAATTTTAACTGAGGTGTTTTTTTCTGTTTTTCTTTTTTTCATTCGTATTTCAAAGTTGAAATATTTAAATGCTTTTTTACTGTCCATAGGTAATTTATAAATTACATTTATTTGTAAATTGGTCGCTACAACAGATTCAAATTTGCTAAAACTCTTTCCTAGGGTCGGACATAATAGATAATAAAATTTTAATTATGGAATTATGGAAGTTAGTGAAACTATCTGATCTATTATTATTAGTTCAATTTGTTTGAAAAAATTTTAAAAATAAATATTATTTCGAAATGTTTTTAACGAGTCTGGCTGACAAAAAATAATTGGATTTTTAATTATAATCAGTTGCATGATTCTAATTTTCTTTTTTTTTGAGGCTTTTTAATTTAATTTTTATCTGGAAAAATGAATTTTTTGAAAAAAAATTCATTTTTTAGACTCGTTCAAATAGTCCTCGACGAATACCATTATTTGAAAGAGCATCTACGCGATGGTGGAATCCTCAGTTTGCATCACCAGCTCTAGAATCACAATATTGGAAGTGTAGTTTTCCACAGTTAAAAGACAGATTTAGGTATCGCTTTACTTATGGCTTTTTAAATATTCTTAGGTTGGGTCACAGAATATATTTGAGATACGGAGTGACTAAATATAAGCAAAATGTTTTAAGTAAATTTTAAGAAATTTTCCTCTGGTTATTCTAAGTAAATTTTGATTCATCTATGGTTTTAATTTAATTTGATAAAGTCAAATATTTCGAGAAACTCCTCACTTTTCATGCGAATATTTTAAAACTAGTGCATCAAATTTTCTGTCTCTGAAAAATAAATGATATAAAAGAAATAATATTAAAACAAAATATAAATATAATTTAAAATGGTGGAAATATAAAGTTTTAAAATATAAATTTTACCAAAAAATCTTTGTGTAGTTTTTTTAGCTTTTTCAAATCTTCCATTTATATAAATATATAAATAATATAAATAAATAAATAAATATAAATAAATGTCTGTATAAGTAATTACAAGGGCTTATGAAAATGTATGAAAATGAATCATATAAAAATAAAAGTTATTTAAAATTTCGGCCTTTCAAAACATTTTAATGCACTGTTGAACATGGTTAAAAAATAAATTTAATGAATTTGCAACCTAATTACTATTTTGCTTATATATCGACATAAAAGGTTAAATTGGAAAGAAAATTTTTTTGGTAATTTTGGTTTATTTCAACCCTTTTACCTTATTTTTCTTATATTTATTTGGAAATTCTCAGATCTGGACTTCTTTATGTTATATTAACATGTATTTTATGGATTACTTATTTATATGCTTTTGATCAAGTTGATTCATTTCATTGGGTTGGTTTTTTGCTTTTGCACTTTTTTATATTCTCACTTTTTAGTGCCTTTTAGATTATTCTTTAAATTCTTTAAATTCTTTCATATTCTCACATCATATTTTAAATTCTTTATTTCCTGTTTTTTGCTAGACTTCCGTTTGCATTTGAAATTGACTTTTTTTATTTTTTTTATTTTTATTTTTTAATATTTTTATTTTTTAATTTTTACAATTTTGTCATGGCACTGCTTTTCAATTTGATTTATTTCGCCTAAAATATTTACCAATTATTTTAAAAATTTCAACCTTCTGAATATTTTTTATTAAAAGTGTATTTTCAGGTAACTACGTGTGGTCTCGTCTTAATCTCATCTGGAATGATGTTATTTACATTATTTACAATCCAATATCAACGATTTTATATGCCCACTTCGTTTTTATGTGTTTTTATATTATCTATTGTCACTTTGCTTATATTTTCTGACATGTCAGATTCTTTTATGAGTCCAATTGGCGCATTAAATACCAGCTTTCAAGTAATCTATATAGTTCTTTGAACATTTATGCATATTTTTCTTATAATTTGTACATTAAAACAGAAATAAAAACCTATTTATTCCGAAGAAAAAAGTGGGAAGGGTAGTTTTTTTTCTTGAGTTATTTCTGAATCTGATCATTTGCAAGCAACATAAGAATTATGATGACTTTTTACTGGCCCAAATTCATTAATTTGAAAAATATGCGAAAATATTTAAGGTAGTTTTACTGATATATACAGTTATTCCATTGCCACTTTATTTATGTATTTTGATTGGTGTTATCTATTCTGCGTTATTCGAATTATTATCTTCGAGTAATATTCATTATGGTGATATCCTTGGAATGAAACTTGTGTTGCACTTAGGAATTCATCTTCTTGGAGTTCATCTTTTTATATTAACGCAAGGTTTTTTTTTTGAAATTTCATTTATTCTTAAATTATTGTCAGTGTTCTGAAATAATGAAATAAGTTAATGAAATTAACACTTAACTATATCAAATTTGGAATGCAATTTTTTTGCACCATAATGAATTGTAAAATAAAAAATGGTTAAGTTGATAGAAGTTTTATTTGTTTGTTTAATTACTTTTTTTGCTTATTTTATAATACGAACCATTATTAATAGTTCGCCAGCGGAAGACATTTTTAAAAGTCGGTCAGTCTTTGCTTGCAAGAAAAGATCTCGAAATGGAAACTCAGTTTAAGGATCATATGATTCAATCAGTAATGCCTAAAAAGGTGTGGATTATTTAAAGTATATTTTTTCTGTCATATTTCCGATATTTCAAATTTTTTATCTCATTTTTGCCAATTACTGCCAGTTATTGACTTATTCTTATTATTGACTTATTCATACCTTGAAAATTAAAAATTATGTGTCGAAGGATTTTTGAAGGAATTGGAAAAAAAAAATTTCCTTGATTATTCGGCCAAATTCATAATTATTGTCTGGTTTATGAAAAACAAAATTAAGCATTGTGCAGTGGTAAATATGCCTTATAAACCTGAATATTATTGATAATTTTTTGAATTTATTCAGGTGGCTGATGAGCTATTAAAAGAAACCAATGTGAGGAGGTCTTCAGTTAATCAAGAAGCTTATTTAAGAGCGACAGATAATAAAAATCGTTCTACTGGGGATCGAAATTATTCAGTTGTGCCTAATGTACGGAAATTTCGACCATTTACTATGAATTTGATGACAAATGTTTCCATCCTTTTTGCTGACATAGCGGGTATTTTCGATTTTGAAAATTTCATTTTCATTTCAAGAGAATATTTTCTTTGATAAATCTAAGAAATTTTAAATTTTCAAAAGAACTAGCAAAATTGTGGCTAAATGGAAAATTGGCCAGTTTTTTATTCACAAATGCTTTTTGACAAATAGTTTTTGAAAATAGGTTTTTTTGCAGATATTTATATTTGTTATTTGTTATATATTCTTATTTTTCTTTTTCTTTTTAATCTTTTTTGATTTCTTCATCAGGTTTCACTAAAATGGCTTCAAATAAATCAGCAGACGAACTTGTCAATCTTCTTAATGACTTATTTGGTCGATTCGATTATCTTTGTGGTAAATGTTGCCTGGAAAAAATAAGTACATTAGGTATGGTACAAAATATCTTTTTTTATAATAATAATAATAATTTTTATAATAATTTTATAATATATAATATTGAATTATTATAATATTAAATAATTTAATATAAAACTTTATAATATTTAATACAAATCTACAAATCAGTAAAATGACAAAATAACGTTATAAATAAAGATAATAATTTTCTATTTTCGTTAAGAATTCAGTTGTTGGTGCCATATTTTTTTAATATTTGTTGTTATATTTAAGTGTAAGTTTGGTTTCGCTACTCTGCCCTACAGTAACACTCGGAGCTAAAATTTTAAATCAAAAATGAATAACATAACTGTGCCTGCATGTCTGCCTTTTCAATATCAACATTATCGACAAATTTCAGGTGATTGCTATTATTGTGTGGCAGGTTGTCCTGAAGCTCGTCCTGACCACGCACGTTGTTGTGTTGAAATGGGTCTTGCAATGATAATTGCGATCAAACAGTTCGATATTGACCGTGGTCAAGAGGTCAACATGCGTGTTGGTATTCATACTGGCAAAGTTTGTTTTTTGTTATTTGTTTATCCAAATTCTGAATCATCTGATCATTTTTTTCGTTTTCGTATCATTTGTTTTTACAAAAAATTGATTAATGGAATATTATAGGTTATGTGTGGTATGGTTGGCTTGAAAAGATTCAAATTTGATGTGTTTTCAAATGATGTAACTCTTGCAAATGAAATGGAATCAACTGGTATCGCTGGTCGAGTACACATTTCTGAAGCAACTGCCAAGTTTTTAAACAATGAATATATTTTGGAAGAAGGGAAACCTCATGGTGGTTAGTTTTCTTCGCGAAGCACTAAAATTGTTTACATTTATTTGTGATTTATAAGATCTAATAAATATTAAGCAACTGTTTATTATGTAGACTATATAAATAAAATTAAATGGGGTAAAAAAATATTTTTCAGTTCCATTTTTACACACCAATTTTTTGCGATTTAATTCTTTTAATCACAAATATATAGCTATTTATTAATCATTTTGGTATTTTTTTTGTTTTTTCTAATAGAGCTTTATTTTTCTTCAAGTTTCGAACTAATAAAAATGAGTTGGTTGATAGAGTTTATTCATTCATTTAAATTAAATTTTAATTTGATTGATTCCTAATCAATTAAGCTTTTTAAGGAATGAAGACATATTTCATTGCTGGCCGTATAAAGGAGACTGATAGTTCATCGAAGACAGCATCTTGTTCCATTTCAGCTAGAGATGGTGCTGCAGTCGATACATTTTTAAATCGTTCACAGATTAGTTTTAAAAAGGTTTTTAACTCAGAAATACGTTTTTAAAAGAGTTCTCAATTTGAAAATTTGAAAATATCAATTTGAAAAAATCTTCTAGAGATTAACCAATAAGCTAAAGATGGTGCAGACGAACTCCCTTCCAACGGAGAGATATGCAGGGAGTTTGAGGATGAAACTGTTAGAAAAAAAAGAAGAGTGCAATTCCGTTCAGATTCTTCACCATAGTGAATCGCTTGATAAAGTTCGTTACTTTTATTGACCATATGTTTTTTAATCATTTATTTTAAACTGAATCTTTTATTTCATAGTAAATTCTGTTGCAGAACGGTCAGTCACAACTAGTCGAGCGTCGGAAATCTGCGTCATTACAAGCTTTACCAGTGGCTGAATCAAAACCTTTCTGTATTGCGGAGAAAATAGGAGGAAGAATTTCCCGTGATCTTGTTAATGCATGCAATAGTAGTGCATGCAATAGCGGACCGGGTTCAAAAAGCTCAGGATTACAGGTTCTTCAGTCTTTTTTACAAGATATTTGGTTAAACATTTTTTGCTTTCCTTTTGTTCATATTGTTAATTCATAGTGAATGCTGCACATCTTTTTTTTTATTTTTTTTTTATTTATTATTTATTTTTCTATAACAGCATTCACCATTTCTAATTTAGTGGTCTGTATTAGCTAATGAGTTCTTTTTTTCAAAGAACCACCAAAGAGTCTATGAATATTTCCAAATATTCCTTATTTGTTATTTTCTTCAATCAATTTAATTCTAACGGCAAGATTTAAGGAATCATTTTCGGATGCTTATTCAGTTGGTGGTGCCATTGATACCATCATATCTCATCATCAGAATGCTCCGTCACTAACGCATTTTGATACAGAGAATCGAGATTTCGATGAAAGGCTGGCTCAAGTAATTCAGGCATGTTTTGGAAATGGGTTTTACATTATTATTGCGTTTTTAATTTTTCATAAATGGCTCATCTAAATTAATTTCCTTGATATATTAAAGGTAAATGATATATCAAACTATCTAAATATATATTTTAGAATGCTGGAATGAACTTTGCGCGTGGCTTCTGGATGCAAGATGATTCGTTAAATAGATGGTCATTACGTTTTAATGATCTCGATATTGAGAATCGTTACCGTGCTCATTTTGCAGATTTTGCTGATCGACAATGGACCAAAAAAGAAACTGAGGGAAGAAGAAAAAACGTAATTAATTTAACCTTTGTAAGAATTTCATCAAAAAATCTGGTTTTATCTGGAACTAATTTATATTTATAATTAATTTACTGCGATCTTTTTTAATTTTCTATTATGAGTTCAGAATTTTGAAATAAGGTAAAAAATCTGTCGGTCTCTCGGAAATTTTTCCAGAGAAGCTAATTTGAATTTACGGTATGTATAAAGGATGTTTCAGCATCTCATTATTGATTTCTGTTGGTTTCAAAAATTTTTTTTGAATTCTAGCAAACGGCGGTTGATGCTGAAGAATCATCCACACAGTATCGATATTCAGGTGTATTTATTGATATGCTTGTGGCAGGCGTTTTACTTATTATTTGTGCTGGCGTTACTTTTTTAACGGGAAAATTTCACATGGCTTTTGTCATGTATTTCTGTGTTTCTTTTATTGCCGTTGTTATTATGATCATAACAATTGGAATACCACTTTTACGTCGTCGGATAATTTTTCCTTGTGTTAATTTGTGGACGCCACGACATGTAATAGGTTAGTTTAGTAAAAAAAAAGTGCCTAAATTTTATTATTTATGAAAAAAGATAAGTTAATTTTGAACCTTTTTTAGATTTTTTATTAGATTCTTAGATTTTAAATTTTGATTATTAGGTTTTTTTAATACGTTTTTTAGGCTTTTATAATTATTTATTGATGAAAAAAGGAGTTTTTATTTTTCCATTTTTTTTGTTTTTATAGCATTCTTAAACATTGTTTTGTCATTAGTTTTATTAGTTTTTCAATTGATTTTGACTCATTTGACTCACATTTCTTATGCTGATTATGCAGGAATGATTCTTATGCTTCTTCCTGTTGGTATCGCTCTTAGTATTATACCTCAATATGGTAAAACCAATAATTTATCGTGCATTAATGCAGAATTATTTCTTCAACGAATCACTTTTTGTGAGTTTAGTAAATCATTGAAAAATTCTTGCCTTAATATTAAAATTTTCTTGAAAAAAAAATTCATGAAGGTAGGCGTTATGTTTTATACTCGATTTAATTTAATAATTCAATGGTGCCAACCATTATTACATATTGTTACTTAAAAATGAATGGGCCGTTTATAAATAATTTTATTTACATGAGATCGCCTCATATTCTTAAATTGTTTTATGTGTAAATTAAGACAATTAAAAAATTAAAAAGACAAAGAAATAAAGCAAATTGCACCATAAGTAATATTGAAATTATTTATGGATTAAGAAATGAATTAAAAAAGTTCACGCGAGGAAAGCAGTGAAGTTTTAAAAAAAAGAGTAGAGCTTTTTTGTGATAAATATATTATTTTAATTTTTTTTCAAATTCATATTTTTGGGAAATTTTCTCTAAATTTTTTAAATTTTCCATTCTTATGCAATATAATAGATTTTCTCAAAAATAATGTATTTTTATGGAAATATTTATATTTATTTGAACTGAAATACCTAAAAAAATATATAATATTAGTCAAATATGCATTTATGTTGTTTTCTATACAAATTTTCTCCATCTAGAAATCAATTCTTGGATCGATTTTTTATTGAAGCATGTGCCGTTAGATTCGAAATATCCTTCAAGGACACTTTTGGCATTATCAAAAGAAAGAAATCTTTTTTCAGCGAATACTGTTGCATAGACTTCAGTAAATGAAAATCGAAAGAGATTAGGGGGTAACGTGAATCAAATGGAACTTCTTAGCCAAAGTCGTTTTTGATGTTTCTACATTTATTTTTTGAAGTATAAGGCTGTATTGTAGTATCGATAGCTGTTGCAGGCAATTTCGGTGGAGTTCGCTCTTTTATTCTGCCTTATTTGGCCTCCTCATAGATTGAAGATGATGGAATATTGTTTGCCTTGTTTTTTTTAGCGACTTCATCCAGTGTTTGTTTGGAATCAGCGTCGGTTAGAGGGAGCGGAAAATCATCAGTTTTTGAAGGTTTTCTGGCAGATTTTCGCTCGTTATGGTGTAAATTGAAATCGCCACTTCTAAACTTAAAATTGCTCCTCTTTCCCCTTAGCTCTCAGAAAATGGATAATATTTTTGAGAAAACCTATTATGTTTGATGAAGTGAAATAAATAAATATTAGCAATATTTTTTTACGTTACTCAATGTGAATTATTCAGCTTATGTTTTCTTAATCGCATTATTCGCTCACTGCAATTTTTCTCAATTATCTGCATGGCCGAAAACCACACAAGCCACATTCGTTGGAATATTATTTATTATTCTTACATTTGTGAATCAATATCAAGAGATCGATCTACTCGCTCAAAATATGACAGGTATGTCGAATATTAATTCTAATGTGAAATGAGGTGCTTTCTTCATTTTTTGTTAATTGGTTCCTGGGAGAAACAATATTAAAAAATTAAATTAAATTACAAAATGTGGTCAGTTTGCTGCAATAAATATAATGGATGAAAGACTCATTTATTAAAAATACACTAGCATTTAGTAGACATTTTTTAAATGCATTTTTCATTATATTTATCAGAGTAGTACCATTTTAGCTATTTTACCAATTATGAGCGAATTGCAATATGTCTGTAATGTTTCTTTGCCTAAGTGGGCATTTCAAGGAGCGCAGACACCGATCTGCATTTGGGAAATTATTCTTGATATATTTCTTGGAGTTGTTTTGGTCGCTTTTCTCAATTATCAGGTTTTTGGAAATTATTCGTTTGTCTAATTTTTTCTAATTTTTAATTGCAGCTTTAAATTTAAATTTAAATTTAAATTTTTAATTTTTTTATAGTAAATTTTTATGTAAATCAAATTTATTTATTTTATAGTTTGAAGCCGCATTTCGGATGTCATTTTTCGGCGATGTTCAAGCACGAATGGATACTGAAAAGATGCAATCTGTTCGAGATCAGGCTGACTGGTTATTAACAAATATTATCCCTCAACATGCAATCGATTCGCTCAAGTCAAGTACCAAGTATTCGGAAAATCATTCCATGACTGCTGTTCTTTTTGCCACTATAACTAACTGGAATGAGATGTATGAAGAAACATTCGAAGGTTCGATGTTGTTATGATTTTATGGTTATTATCCAGGTGTATTATTTAATGTAAAGTAAATATGAAGTGATTAGTTTACCATTTAGATTCATTTCATTGGCTCTATATGTGATTTTTATCAGAAAAATCTAGGCGATAGAATCCCAAGTGGGTCTTTTCAGATATCTCTCGGACATGATGTTCACTTCAGAAGTAAAGTCCGATTAAAAAAATCTTAGCGTTCGAGGTTGAACAATAACTACTCGGTTATTTTACCTCGAATTGCTTGTTATGCTGAAATAAAAAATTGAATTATGCTGTGGGCGAGTGCTTTGATGTTCTAAATAGTTTGTTTAAATTAATAAGTTGTTAACAGAAATGTACCGAAGATCTTCGATTTCAGCTTCGGTTAGAAAATTGCGAGATCGAAGATTTCGAAAAATTTGACACAGTTATAAAATATATTATCAATTTCCTTCAATTAGTAAAGAAATGTAAATTTTTGGTTGTAGGTTTACCAAGCTATCAGTCAAACTGAGCAAATAAATAACCTAAAATTGTGTAGAGATTTTATTATAATATTTCTGATTTCTCTAATTAGTGGGATTAAACGATTTTATCAAATCATCATTTGGAAATAGAGGAACCAGGCAATTCCAGAACTTTAATCCAAGAATATTTTTGTATATTTTTATATTATATATATTTATATATTTATATATTTTATATATATTTACTATGCTGATGGATTCATCTAATATAAAAATGGTACTGAAAACATTCCTTTGGGTGAGATTTTATTGATTCATCAGTTATTTAGTGATTCACTGTGTAAGAAGTAAGCGAATATGAGTGAAATACTGTGGAATTCGCGATGAATTAGCGGTGTTAAAAGAATTATTAAACGAGAGGATTTTCATTTACTTGGCGGAGACAAAACAATGTTGGATATCCATTACTGAACAGGATGCTTTAAAAATGCTTAGCAACACATATTATAAGTGTACCATCTGATTAATTTTTTAGCAAAGCAAGAGGTATTTCCACAAATTTTTTTTCTAAGAGTCCTCAACATTACTGGTTAAACTCGCTTCACTGGCTTGTCGTATTGGGCAACATGCCAGGGTCTCCCTTGGCGATAGAAATACAGGTGGGTCGCCAGCAACACCTGGATTTTTGTACAGGTTTGCTCTTGTGGGGAATCGAACAGCAGCTTCGGCTGCTCCAAATTGAGCAACAGTTATAGAGTATTTATCAAATTTTAACAAAAGTTCTCTTATTCACTATATATATATATATATATATCAATCTCTTTCTGAATTGTAATTTTATATTTTATTTGTTCTGTTCTTTACAAACTTCTACGTGTTCTTTTATGTCCTTCGGTGCATATTGTTTCGAACATCAAAAATCTATAATTTTTTTGCAATTTTTTGCAATTTCACATAGAAAAATTAAATTTCATAAATTACTAAAAGAAACAAATAAAAATTAACGAATTCACTTGTTTTTTTTAAAGGTGGTCGTGAATTTTTGCGCGTTTTAAACGAAATAATTAGCGATTTTGATGAACTTCTTGATCGACCCGATTTTTCACAAGTGGAAAAAATCAAAACTATTGGTGCAACATATATGGCTGCATCAGGCTTGAATCCTGAACGCAGACGTCTTGCTTTGCATCCTTATGAGCATCTTTATCAGGTCCCATTCTTTTTAGTTGATATTCAATGATCATTTTTAATATGGTTTACTTTTTGGCAAAAGTGTTGTCAAGTTTATTGTTCAAGTTTATTGCAAAATTAAAATTAGAGCTATGCAATCAAAAGAATTTAATATTTTTAATAGGAAATGTTACATTATTTCCTTCTTGCAATTCTTAATTATTTCCAATATTAATGCAACAAACATTTTTTACATTTTACATTTTAAACATTTTTTGTTTTTTTAGTTAATCGAATTCGCTTTGGCGCTGCAACAGCAATTGAATTTTTTCAATCAGGATCTCTTGAATTTCGATTTTGTTTGCAAGATTGGATTTAACATTGGTCCTGTTACTGCAGGGGTTATTGGGACCACTAAACTTTATTATGATATATGGGGTGATACTGTCAATATCGCTTCGCGAATGTATAGTACTGGTGTTCAAAATAGAATTCAGGTTTTTCATTTCGCAATGTTCGATATAAAATCTATCTATAAAATGTATTGCTTTTTTGGGAAATGTGTTTCAGTATTTTGGCAAATTTTTTGTAAAAGTATTCAAAAACATAAATTATTCAATATCTATTTTATCTACTATTTTTAAAACAATGGTTAAAAATATCAAATTAAATATCAAATATTTAAATTAAATAGGAACTTTTTTTAGGTACCGCAGCAAACACGTGATCTTCTCTGTGATCGGTATGATTTTGAATACCGCGATCATATAGAAGTCAAAGGTATCGATAGTGGAATGGATACATACTTGCTTGTTGGACGAAAAGGAGAACCACCTATCAATTTTTCAAATTCACCAGCATTTTAAAGCGATGACTAATATTGATAGGAAAACAATTAGCATTCTTGAAGATAAATGATAATTGGTGCTTGTTTTTTGTGTGTTATATTTTAGTGCCCATTTACATTGCTTTCTCATTTAATTTTAAATACGAGCGCCACTAGCATTAAATTTGCGAATATCCCTGCCAATTTATTGTTTTATACAAGAAATTTTTTCATGTTTGAGAATCTAAATGATGATTTTAGAAGTTTTTTCTAGAAGCGTGGAATATTTAAATTTTTATATGGATGACGTTTTAGAGCTAATTAAGGAATAATTCTGAAAATTCTTATTTCTCGCATTATTTGAAGAGAAATATTTGCAAATGAATTCTAAATTAACCTGATTTTTTCTTTTCAAGCTTTAGCCATATGTTAGAATCTCTAGTCAGTTATAATTACGTGTCTTTTTGTTTATTTTTATATAAATAATTTTTCAATTTTATATTTGTTTGTTATCAATTTCTATATTTAACATTGGAGCTGATAAAAAGTGTTGTGAAATCCAAGCTGAATATGTTTAGGCATAAGATTTCCATTTTTCCAAATTTTAATTAGGATGATTGTCAGACATCATTAATTGATCTTGACTTAGCTTTTCTTCTAAATTATATTTCGATTTCTGGTAATGTGTACATTGTTTTATATACATATATATATTGAAAGAGGACAGTTTTATAAAAGATGTGGAGTTTTTTATTTTTAAATTGATACATGTTTTAAATTTTTGTTGGAATAAGTAGTCTCAGCTTTAATTAACCCGAATGAAAGTTTCGATTTTAATATTAAGCTTTGGCTTTAATTTTTTTTTATATAATTTATATTTTGAAATATTTCTCCAAGGAAAGAATTGGTTGTTCTATTCATAAAAAATGAATATGGATTCATAAAATATGGATTTGGCAGGAAGAAATTTTATTTGTGAAATTCATTAATTTATAATTAAATTAAAATTAAATTCATTAATCTTTGCAATTTTTAAATTGCAATTTTGAATTATATTTGATTTATTGAATACACAAAGCGGTTAGTAAAATTTCCTCTCTTTGATGGCTAAATTTTATGATGGTAATTAAAAAAATATTTATAAGTGATAGATAATTATAATCAATGTTTATAATCATTATTGTTGGTAAAATATTGAATGTATAAAATATTTGACTATATTTACATTTTTCTTTTAATAGTGAAAAATGGAAAAATATCGAAATCGTTAGTTTCTCGTTTAACTATATTGGTTTTAGTTTTTTTTTATTTTATTTGTTTCACTGGTTTCTATTTTTACAAAGTTTCCCTTTTTTATTTCTTAAAAATGAATAAATGATCCGGAAAAGAATTAAGGGTCTAATTATTATTATCACTGTTATTATTTATTATAATTAACTATTATTATTGATATTATTGCTGTTATTATTAATTATTATTATCAATCATTTTTATTTTGTCATTATTATTATCATTATATTGTTGTTATTTGCTACTGTTATTTATTATTATTCATTATTATTATTAATTTATTATTAATTATTATTATTAACTATTATTATTAATTATTATTATTTCGTTAAAATTATTCATTATTATATTCCCGTTGTTTTTATTGATTTTCATTGTTATATATTATATAAAATATATTATTATATATTATATTTATATTTATTATATTTATTAATATATGTAATATTATATTTATTATTATATGGTCGTTGGCTAACTGTAGTCAGACTTTTTTTTACTGTAATGCAGTATTACATTAAATTGAGGCTTTTTTGCACTTAAAATTATTTCTATAAAAAAGTTTCGTAATTTTACCATTAATCCAGAAAGATAGAATTGTGGATGTTGATGCAGTAGCTACTCCCAGCTACTTTATTTATTCATATGGTGTTTACAGCTGCGATGTGTGCAGAGTCCGAGATAGAAATAGAACTCTTCGTATCTGGTACAGGTTTAACGATAAATTTAAACTTTTAATTGAAGCTCATAAGGAATCATAAGGAATAGAATTGGCAGTATTTCTACAAGATGTATCAGCGTTTTCGGATATATTGCCATTGATTTATACTCATTTATTAGAGATGAAGGGGACAAAAGGATTTGGATTATTTCATGTTCTCAACTTTCTTCGAGCTGAATATGTTATAAGATTCTACGCTCGTTGATATCGAACTTTATTCGAGAAACAGTCTGAATTTCGCGAACGTTTCATCGAATCAGCTGGGCGCTGTTAGAATTTGCTTTTAAGCTAAGTCTCATCTCGAAAATTGCTACGAAATTGCTTATCTTTATCTTCATGCCACTACACAGCCAATCCCATATAGCATTAAAGGTGTTGCCAATTTTAATTAATCTAATTTTAATTCATTTTAGAAGGAATTTTTGAAAAGAATTTTTTAAATGGATTTGAATCAATTGTGGTACTTTTAAACAGAATAAATGAAATTTTCGCTGTTAAATGGTACTAAGCAGTGCTTAAGGCATATTTAAGCTATATTTAATTATTTGGTTAAAAAGATTGAGCAGTGGTAACTCGGAATGGCGATATAGGTGAAAAAAAAGATCGAGCTGTAGAATCTGTTAAAGCAGTGTTTGGTATCTGTTGGCTTATCATTTTTATGAAATTTCATGCTCAATTTTCTGAAATGGCGGAAAACTATGAAATTTGTAAAAAAAAAGTGATAGTGTAGGAATCAAAAAAACGAATAGATTTGAGCAAAAGATAATTTCGGGAATAAAAAAAAACCGATTCAATAATTCTGATATTCTGATATGAAATTTTTTAATTGGCCACGCTTGTTTTATGTGCCTATGGGAATGGAACCTGTAAACTTGTCATTAAAAAGTTCTGATGGTGCTGGCCCACTTGTATTATTGTCACCAATTTCTTTTATCATTGTCGCCGAGCGGTTTCTTGATCTCTAGCGGTACCAGCAGCCAGAGAGACGAACCTATATCAGAAATAGTGGGCATTAACCGCATGCGTTGATTCGTTCCCGTATCTCTTGGCTCTTTTTCGATGAGTGATGTGAACGAAGATATTAAAATAGATATCATTGATAACAGATAACAGATATCATTGTGAAGAGAAATTTTTGTTATGTATTAGAAATAAGATATTTGCATTTGAACATTTTCAAAACAAAAAAAAGGAAAAGTTATGGCAAATCCTGACTTTAGCCAATTAATTTCGAATTTTTTATTTTTTCTTTATAATTGACCATAAATGTTTGCTTGGTGCTATTGTTAATAGCATTATTTGATAATTCCCTATTTTTCACTATAATCATATTTTTTCCCGAATTATTTTGCGAATTTCTCGGCAAAATTAGTGTTTTTTTAAAGTTTTTATACAAAAGCAATTTTCACCTTTCGATTTCTGAAGACTTTTTTTCGGTTTTTTCTTCCTTTTATCATTTTCTTTTAACAAAAAAATTTTTGATTGATGGAGATAATAACAGATAAAATGAACAGATAAAAAAAGAGATGATAATGAAGAAGAAAATTATTATAAATATTTCAAATCATCATTTAAAAATAATCGAAAAAAAAAATGTTTAGCGCTGGCCATTCCTGATTATATAAGTTCCATTGGTTGCTAATATGGGTTGCGAGGAGATTACTTGGCAGTGGACCACTTGTTTTCTTAATGGTAGATTTATTCCTGTCGAGGAACGGAAGGCTAAGCTCTTACCTATCAGCATGATAATTTGGGCCATTGCCCATCCGCCTTTTCTCCTGCACTTTATTTAAAAAATAAAGTCGAAAAAAAGAATTCATCCAAGATTTATTCACTCGTCAAATTTGTGTACTTTGAAATCGCTAGCCAAAAACAAGTTTATATGCATGTATAAGCAGCCAAAAATCCAATTCAATGGCACAGAAAATATTAAATGAAATGCGAGTAAGGAAGTTAATTTGTGTTTTTTTATTGCTTCCAAATGCAAAATAAAGTTTTATCCGAAGAATATTGACTTAGGGTATATAAAATAAATAAATCTTTTTTTATTTTTCTTTCACTTTATGATAGTATACATAAATAATATTATAGAATAATATAACAACAAGCTTTCTTCGACAGGAGTAAAATTATTACATCAAAGATGGGGAATACTGCTGGGGAAGGACGGCTATGGTGAAAGAATTAGATATTCTTGAAACGCCTTCCTACACATGATATTCCCAGCTGGGTGGTATATGAGATAAATATACGATCCAGGCGTAGAACGGTCCCAAAGTTCATAAATAAATATGCTCGCAAGCTAGTATAATCGTTCAAAACTTATCAAACGGAATGCGCAGAAAGCTATTAGCCGTACCAACACAGAACGCTTATGCACATCGCAATCCAAGTGATCACTATCCATACTCTTCCTAAATACTGTGTGGATATTTCTTGCTTGTCAGAGGTCTATTAGTTCTGAATAATTACTTATCTTCGAAACATAGGAGCAAAGGCAATGGCTATATCACTGGCGTTTATCATATCTGAAAAAATCCATTCCGCTTTGATTAAAACCGGTAAGCGATCGAATGATCGATGCCCACTTTAAAGGTAAGTTTCTGCAGTAGCTTGATCATCAGTATTTATGTTGCAACCTTGTCGACATGTGACTGTGAGAAAGATAAGTTCTATGCGGAACTTCAACTGTTAAAAAAGCATGGTCATAATCGACGGGAACCGGAATGCGCGCATGGGTCATAATGCCGTTGCGATGACCTCAACAACCTCAACAACAAATATGGTATCGAAGACCGGTATGCCAATGGGAAATGCTTTCGTTACACCGAAGAGCATGAGCTTTCTTTTTGTTATTAATGCTTGCTTCCGGAATCCGGAATCGTAGAAAACATCTAGGTGGAACTCCCCGGATAACCAATATTTCAACCAGATTGATTAGCCAGTCGCCGTTGGAAGATTTCCGTGCTAGATAGTCGTCCCTATCACAGCGCTGAAATTTCTAACATTCATGGATCGCACCATGTTAT